ATTATTTTGATCTATCTCGTAGGGTTCAGCCAGCGTTTGCAATGTAAGCGCAAAAAATGTGTTTATTTACGACATCACATTACAAATCTCTAAAATTATCAGTGTTTCCCTACTATATTATGCATGTATTATACATATAAACCTTCCTCTTGAATCACTCTATCTTGTAAAAAAAACCGCATCAAAATCCGTTGCGTAGTTTTAAAAATTTAAGCATACATATGGACAGACAGCGGGAAAGCGACTTTGTTTTATACTATGTAGTGATGTGTTTGTTTTTAAAATATTTGTTTTATTTGATAGTGGTTTATTAAAAATTGTGAAAAAGTTACGAATGTAACTGAAGTTTTCAAGAATACATTAAGGAGTTTTTGATATTGTTCTCTGGCTGTTGACTCCATATTTTCCTTGATAAAGTCCTCTATCAAAAGAAGAAACGTTTCAAAAAAAGTTTTTTTCACCTATGAAAAATCCATACGTTAATATAACAAATGCTGATATCAGGGTGATAGTGGAAATTAATTGGGATATTGGGATAGATTGACTAATTCTAAGTAACTTTTATTTCATAAAGTTTTTGCTGAACGTCAATATCTTTTGACTTATTCTTGAGTGAAGATGTCAATTTTTCAACCAAAAAAAAAACAAGTTTTTAGACAGTTTTTACTCTCAAAGTAATTATTTTATCAAAAAATCATTATTAGTAAAAATACATAAAAAAAAACAAAAAAAGGCTGAGTTAAAAGTATCAGTAGGTCTAATACAAACGGAGTAATATATTGTTAAATGTTAGTTCTTATTCATCAAACGTCACAATCGAAAGTTTCAATTTGAAATAACAAAAAAACAATGCTTTTTTCATAGAACCTTTTTTAAACTGCTTATTTACCTTTATTTTTGTTTTTGATAGAAGTCCCTAGCATCAAAATTATGCTAGTTAAGACAAAAATAAAGTTCGTCCCTACTTTTTTGACTTCAAAAATGTGAAAATCACCTCTTAATTACCACCCCAAATAGGAAATAATCGTTTCTAAATTATGCTTTATTCGCTCGTGCGATAAAAAAATGATCACAAAGAAATTCGTAATTTCTATGTTCGGTTAACGTTTTTGCCTTACATGTATGCATACATTTACAGTAAACCAGATTTATTGAAATTGATTAAACACTAGCAGTTTTATAAGTGCTTAATTTTGTTCATAAATTATTCAAAATTTAAAAACCACTTTTGTATATTTCATTTCCTTCTTTAATTTACAAAAGAAGCGTAAATTTTATGAGACAATTTAGAAGTTCTTAACACGGCTATCACTTTAATTCAGGTCCGTCTCCAATGTAAGCATGGAGATCATCATTTGAAATTAATTGCCTTTCACAGGATAGAAAGCGTCTCAAAAAGAGATTCCAAAAACATTCTCCCCTAGAAAGCGTGATATACAAATATTAATAATAGGAAAACGGGACAAAATTTTGGTGCTTGGGGGATGGGGATGATGATTAGGTATTAGGCCGTTGTACATGAAGGAGTTGATAGGACAATTTACATCGTTTGATGTGCTATTATGATAAGATTGATAGCAGTAAGCCTAAAGCTAAACGCTGTGTCTCCGGTTGCCATTGTGCAATTATTTTGGTCGTAGCTAGACGACTCGAGACGATAATGCGCGAGAGACGACGACAGGCGTCTGGAAGCGCCGGCGTCGCTTCAGTTTCACGCCGGTGAGGAAACTTCGAAAGCGACGTTTCTCTACCGTTAACTGACGAACCACTTTGCAATCAACTGAGTCTAAACTTTATCTCACTGTATATAAATCGAAATGGAATAAAACTACTACCGAAAAACTTTGAAAAGTTTGTGTTAGGTACAATATTATTGGGTACCATTACTTTAATCGATATTAGTGGGTGAAAATAATACCAATATATGTAAAAAGTAGACGAACAAACAATAATTAAGTAGAAAATTATACGAACTGTTTATTGTTTTTCATAGTGACGGCGGATGAACGTAGAAAGGCCGCAGTGACTAAAATAGACCATCAAGTTTTGGTAAGTGATCTGTCTATGTACCTATCGTTTACGCATTTGATAAAATTCAAACGTATTTTAAACACTTTCATTCTAAGCATTGTTGTCGTTTAAAAATAGACATTAATAAAAATTAATGCAACTAACTAATCCGAAACAGTAAAACATCAAATTTGTGAAACTTCAGCATTCAAGTAAAACTTGCTGATCATTTTTGTATGTGAGGATTAAATTCGTCTTTTAACAATTTCAGGTACTATAGTACCAACAATTCGATTTATAATCAAATAACTTACAGTGAACCACATAAAGTGCGCCACCAATAAGATGCATTTCAAGTACCTAGAGGTATAAGTATTAAAAAATAAGGAAACAGTTTATCATTAACGGGGTAATTTTTAAGTCTGATTGCCGGGTAAAGATAGTTGCCAGCGAAAACGGTTGAATTCCCATATGAAATAACATCTACCAAAAAGTATGACAAAATGACAATTAAATGCGAAATTTAAAATAAATTAAATAAATATTATTAGCAGCAATATTAGGACTTTTTGGCACCATAATAATTAAGAAATTTCTTTAAGAAAAAACAACATATGATTTGAATAGTCCTTTAGTATAAAAAATATAGAAAACGGACAGACAGACACACGAGTGATCCTATAAGGGCTCCACTTGTATTTCGAACGTACGCAATCCTAATTCGAAAACCAACTTAACATTGTAGCTGAAAAAAAAACATGTTCTCGCATACATTCAAACTGCAAATGTAAATTTGTACGCACAATATTGTTTTGTTGAAAGATTTACGACGTTATGTTCAAACCATGGACTTCTTATTAATTTTGCTGTATGTAGAAGTAAACAACTATTTTCTGTATTTTTTTCAAAAATTTTAGGTTCAGTAGTTTCGGAGACAAGGGCGGAAGGGGATGGTCAATTTTCATATACTTTTTTAAATAACTTTAATGCTATTTATTTTAAAATTATTGAAATCCTTACAACGAACCCTTTCGTTTGATATGCCACATGATACAGTTTGCAAAACCTTTTTTTTAATTTTCCCTATTGGCCCCCCAAAAATAATTCCTATGTTCAGAATTAATTTATTTGCCTTATGGGTTCGTGTTTGGGCCACAGAAATTCATTTGTGTACTAAATTTCAGTTCAATTGGTCCAACAGATTCGGAGCAAATTAACTGTGACAGACGGACAGACAAACACACTAGTGATCGTATAAAGGTTCCGGTTTTTATTCGGACGTATGGAACCCTAAAAATTTGACCTACTCTACAGTAAATAACAATATACAGAAGAAACATATTTTTGAAGAAAAAATTATATAGAAATAAGTGAAACAAAATCTAATCTAATCTTGCGTAACTCACCCTAACCTAACTTAATTTAGTAAATATACATTTTTTTCATAAAGGAAGAGTAGACTACAACAGATGTTTGTATTGTCCTTTCTTATAGTAACCATATTATGATCCTAGCCTAACCGAACTGTACAAACGAAGGTTGCTATAGGAAAAGACAACACGTACGTAGTGGCCGTTGTCGTAGTCAAGTTCTTACTTTTACTCACAGGAATGGGCAAAAGAAATTTCATTGTTAAATTAACTTATATATAGCTTTATCCTTAAAAATGATTGTTATTTAAGTTGAAATATCCATATTTGCGTATTTGCTGTTTTTTGCACACTAAATGTTTATTCAGGTTTCCTCTAGATAATTTATTAATTCTATGGTGCTAAAACGGTCTACACCCTAATATACATTTCATGCATCAACTGTATAATTATTTTTCGTTTGTTTTTTTAATGTTGTTTAATTCTTATAGGACGTTCTTAATTTAAATGCGATATCTATCTCAAGTGCCTTCTAGTATGTTTTGAATGATCAATAGCTGCCAAAAATTACTATTTTTTATCACAAATAAAAACGTAATACATTTTGTTGAGCATCTAGAAATTGAAAGAAATATTGTAAACGTTTACGTCAGTGAAAAATCAAAAATTTGTTGTAGTAAATAAATTTATAATTATACACATCTAGAGACGTAAAAACTAACGTAGATAATAAAGTTACAATTTTCATTGAGTCCCCAAAACAGTGTAACTTATCAATTTTTATTTATTAAACAAAGCGAATAAAAATTTCGGACCTGGGATTGCAAAGTAACGCAAAATATCGATTTCGAAATATCGTTATTTATAAAGAAAGACAGCAGGTAAAAGTTGATCTGTGTTCTGTCGGAGCTGGCTGCGACGCGCTGATGAGATCCAAAGAAAGATCGACAGAATACAGACCACTTCGAATTATTTTATCCTTATTTATATTTTTATGAAAAATTAGATTGTGAAACTAGTATAACAAATCGAGTGTCTTAAGTCATGGAAACGTATCAACCACTTCTCGCAAAATTGTATTGTTTTTATTGATAAAAAATAACAATAGCTTCATTTTTTATTAACTGGGAACATAAGTTGTGCAACAGTTCTCTCATAGACTTTCAGGAATATCTTCAAAAAAATGTAATTTTCAGACGTTTACTGTAATGTTTTTTAAATAGGCCCGATATATTATGATGTGAACAGCGAAATCTCTAAGCGTTTCTTTGTTTCTGTTGGCTAATCAGACATGTGATTTAAAGTAGTATAGTACGTGAACGTATCAGTTTATTGTGGCTGTAATATTTGCAGCGGAGCAGTTAATCTCTACTGTCCCATCAATTTCAAGCATTTATTTATTGTCTGCAGAGCAACGAACTTGCGCTTCTTTTTATGGAATGTATTTTGGAAATGAATGCCGAAGTTGCCATTTTTCCAGCATATTATATTATAAGCATTAACTGGCAGAGGTGCAAGAAACAGTGGTGGAATAACTGAATTGAATATCATATATTCATATTAATATAAGAACAAAAAATTAATCGATTTTCAAATTAAATTTACAATACTCTTTACATTAATTTGATAGGAAATTTAAGTTGAATACGTGGCGTGAATCCAAAATAAAGTTATTAGAGTAGATTGTATAAGATATGACGCGTTTCTTTGACACATTACCGACAATATTTTAAACGTGTCTCACGCTGTCACGGATCGAACGTTTGGA